CACAAAAAAGCGAAATAGGGAAAGGGAAAACGAAGAAATTAAATAAATCATAGAAACTACTGGCTAATTTTAAGAGAGAAAAGATAGAAAGAAAAAACGGAAAAAAAGTTTCCTTTTAAATGATTTAAGTTTTGGTTGATTTTTTTTTTTTTCAAGGCGAGAAAAGTATGAAAAAATTTAAGTTTTTGTTGATCTGCATTTCTTGTTGCCTTGTTGCTACTGCTGTTGATGATGATGGTGCTGTTGTTGAATACAAAAACCGAAATGTAAACGAAAATGACAAAGAATATAGGAAATAGGAAGGAAAGTTAGAGAAGAAAGAAAAAGAAAAAGGAAAAAAAAGGAAGAAAGACGAGGGACGGTGGTGTCGACAAATAATGACGGTAATCTAAGTGGAGTTTATAATATGGTTTCAGACCAGAAAAAAACAAAAGGATTTTTTGCAGAAACAATTTTATCTGTTTTAAAGAACAAGAAAAACTTCTTCCCCATTTCCCCGCGTCTTTCCGCAACAATAGTAACTCAACAATTTTCTTTGTTTCTTCTTTTCTCTCCCCGGCGTTTCCCTTTCTTATTTCCTCCCGATTTTAATATGTCCGCTTCTCTTTCTCTATCTCCCTCTCTCTCTTTCAGTTGAATACCTCCGTTGTTTCTCCGTCCTTTTTTTTTTCTAGTTGGTTTTACTCTGATCGGTTTTAGACCTAATTTTACGAAAATGGAAAAAAAAAGAAAAAACAAAAAAAATTTATTTAATAAGAAAAAATTTTTGCGGCCTGAGGATGATTAATTTCGATGATCATTGCAAATTACCGAGATCGTTGACATTGAAGGCGAAGTCATCGATATTGTTGGACGAATCGCTCGGTGACGGGCTTGAGTCGTCTGAAGCCTGTTGTACCATTTCGGAGCCGATATCCTCCATTTTGACGACGCCGTCTGATGTGGACTCATTTTTCTGACTAAAATTTGTCAAATTTTAAAAACCAAAAAAAAGAAAAAATTTCTTTTCTCTTTTACAAATTTAACCCACCACAAAAAGAAAGACAAAACAGAAGAAAAGAGCAAATGTCACAAACATATAATAATAGTGTATGAAAAAATTGTTACAGTCTTAAACTTCCTTTTTTCCGCTATTTACTTCATTTATTCAACTAACCAAAAAGCACAAAAGCACCATAATCAAACTGGTAATACTGTTGAACAGCTGGCAGGGTGTCAGAAAAAAGCGATGACAAGAAAAGGTTTTTGGTTCGTTGTTGGTGATGATTCTATGGTCCGGAATGTACCGTGTATCAGAGAACAGACCAAACTGTACCCAACATACCAACATGTTAAAATAAAGACAACATAAATGTATTATACAGCAAAAACAAATTACCAATAAGCTGAGGATTTCTTTTTTTGACCAAAAAATAGGAAAGAAATTCTATGCAGTGAAAAAGACAACACTGACAGCGAAAGCAAAAAATGATATTTTTGCTTTTAGCTATCAAAATAGATAGTAACCAGTAGAAGTAAGCTGTTAAATTAAATTAAAGACAAGTAAAAAGAAAACAAATGTGGTATTACATTCTAAATATATATCACTGAATGATTCGAAATGCTGACTCAATTTTTAACAAGCTTAAGTGGCCAAATTTTCTAGTACCTAAACTATGATAATCAAATACTGTTACCAATAGATTGATAATGTATGATAATGTTGGAAGACACATTTGGTTAAGCTTTAGTTCCCTGCTCTTCTTTTTTGCCATAATCAGCAAATTTCAACGATATATTAATCAATCAATCGGTGCATTTTTACTTCTTCATTTGCATTTATTATTCACTGCCTCTTTTGCCTATTACCTCCCTGTTACAGTCTTTTAGCGCTTATAACCGTGCAGAAAATGCATAAAAACTTCTATTTTCTTCCGCAGCTTCTCTCCTAAAAAAGGAACAAGAACTATGGTTTAATCAGTCAACAGTAAGCATCAAAAGAAAGAATGTTTCCTTCCTAAAGAATGACTGTTTATGTGGTACCCAACAAGTTTAATTCGCTTCACTTAATTGCCCATATTATGTATGTATCGGCCGATGAAGAGGGAATTGTTTAAACCCCTAAACTTTCCTTTCACCGAGGGCATTCCGCATTGTCATTCTACAACCAAATGACATGCATCAGTATCATCACCTATACAGCAGCTCATTCATTTATTTACTTCCTTTGTTCCGCTGATTATTATCCATTTATTCAGCGGTCATCGTGTTTACGCTAAGCTGTATATCGCCCGTAAACGGTTCATCACGACAGCAGTTAATGTTGTTTGTTCTCTGTTGTTGTTGGTGTTGTTAATGTGCACACAGTGCTGATTTATGATTTACCAAATGATAAACTTCAAAAAAAAAAAATTTTCAGATAGTGTCTTCAATTATCCTATCAAATAAATATAACAATTCAATTTAAAAAAAAAAAAAAAAACATTATGATGATTTCTAAATCAATTTTTACAGAATGTTTCAATCTTACACCATGCAAAAAAAAACCCATTATTTTACAAGTAAAACAAATATTCGTTATTGAATACCAAAAAAAAAAA